ATGTGTACTTGAGTTTGATAATGTTGCAGCATCAAAATTCTCTTCTTGAGTATTACTACTTCTCAGATTGCATTTTGGTGTGGAGGATTCAATAATCTTTTCAAGAGTTTCAACAACCCTCTCTAAGTCGTTGGTTTATCCTTAAGCCTTTCAAATCACACCTGTCAGCAATGGTGCATATTCGAGAGTGCTCCTCCACATGTGCAGTTGGTATTTCAAATTAGCAAATTCCACAAATCATCAGATGCTCATCAGTAACATGTTGCAGATGATCGCCCCAGAGCCCCCTAGATAACCCTGCAACTTCTTGTGTATGATCAGGATGGCATGACGAAGTGTCAAGAGAACCAACATTGTAGTCGCCACCAGTTTTCATCTCATCTTTGGCATGCAAAGAATCTTCTGATTTACCCTCTGACACTACATCAGCAAATGCTCCTTTACCTTTTTTTTTTTTTTTTTTTTTTTTTTTCTAGCAGGAGACAGAAGTTTCCTCCATGAAGACATCCTATAGGCACCGAAGGATGACTCAAACCTTTTGGCGTTTTCATGAGTTCTACCACCTTTTCCCTTACCATGGGACTTCTTCTTCGCTGTTTTATCATTCACAGCCTTGTCGCTCACAGGACTAGAAACGTCATGTTGAATAGCTTCCAACAATTGTTCTGGATAGACCCTAAGATCACTAAGGGGCTGTTCGGTTGTTGTAACTCACTCAAGAAAAGTCCACTCGAGTGATGATTTTGGCCCAAAACGCGTTCGACGCAGCTATTTCTCGAAACCAAACTCGAACATTAATTCGAGTTACCTACCCCTTCCTGAGTTCATCTCCACCCCTGCAACTCGAGTTAACTTCTCTGCACTCCTACAGTGGTACAGTGCTCGAAATTTCTCCTTTTTTGTTTCTTTTGTTTCGATTCTCTCATAGCCCGACCCTGTTCAATTTCCTTGAGAAAGAAAGAGAAATTTGAAAAAAATGTCAAGAGTCGCAGAATTCCCAGTCATGGCACGAGCCCACTTGGCCGTGCTCTCGGCTCACCTCGCCAGCGCATCGCTCGAGCCGACCAAGCTCTTTGGCTCCGCCGCTCTCGAGCCGAACTGCGTCTCGGCTCAGACCTTCGTCCCGCCACTGCCGAACCTTAAGGGCTCCTTGACCGTCGTCGACGAGCGGACGGGTCGGAGTTACCAGGTCCAGGCCTCCGACGAAGGCACCGTCAAAGCCACCGATCTCAAGAAGGTTTTATTTTTTTGCCATAACCGACCAAATTCGACAGATTTTTTTCTTTTTTCTGAAAAAAAAAACTCCGATCTTTGGTGTTTTATGTGGAATTGAAGAATCGCGATTGTGAGTTTTGCAGATAACGACGGGAAGGAATGAGAAGGTATGCATATGAATTAGATGGATGAATGGATTGTGCCCGGAAGAGGGAAGATTTTTTGGGCTTTTTTTTTCTCTTTTCAATTTTACCTTCCAATAAGGTGGAATTGTATTTGAAGATCTTATTGTGCATTTGAGAAGAAGACATGTGATGTTTTTGTTCTGAATTTTGGTATTTTGCTGAGCTATGGTGCATTTGAGAGGACGAGGGATGAGCAAAGAGAGGGATGAGCAAAGAGAGCGTGAAGAAGAGTTAGGGGCTAAGGATTTATGTATTTTTTAAAATTACCATATTACCCAATAATTATTTACAAATAATTCCAATTATTCATATTCAATTATAAAAAATATAATAAATTCGAAAAATAAAAAAATTATAAATGAATTGAATAAAATTAAAAAAGAAAAAAAAAATTATATCCACTATTCACAACTCAAGTTTTACCATAAATAAACATAAACTCAAAAAGATTCTTATCTCAAATCATAACTCAAATATACACAATTAAACGTAAACTCAAATTATAATTCAAACTCAACTCAAAAATTTAACTCAAAAATACTTACAAAATAACAAGCCCTAAATTAGTGAAGGCCCATTATGCGATCTTTCTCATTACCACTTTCCTTTTGGAACTGCACAAGCCTTGTACACCGAGTGAGGATGAGGAGAATGCCAGTATGTGCTTGTTTGAGGATTCCCATGGGTAGTTCTTGACGTCGGTCATCTAAGTTCTGAACAATGCCTTCACATTTTACCCAAATTTCATCGGAGGACATCTTTGAGCATGACCGGGCAACCATTAATAAGTCCTTCAAACTCTCTCAATACAGGGGGAAACTCTGAACTTGTAAGAATACTAACTAAATCACCAGCAAATGCACCTAAATCAGAGTTAACTTCTTCCTTCAACTTATCGAACTTTGTCCTGATCGCCACCATAATCTCCTAAAAGTTTTTTCCGACATGATATCAAAATGAGAACCCAAAAAAAAGAGAGAAAAAACAGCATGCACCTCCATATGTCCAAGAGCGCGAGGCTTCCAAAGAGGAAAAGGTCGAACTCCTTTGGAATTAAGTTCGTGAGAGAAACTCTTGATATCCGGTGTTCGCTTCTTATGGCCACTTGTAACACGCAGTATTGCTTGGAAACGTGGTGACTGTATTTCCTCGGAAAAGTTCGAGCAATTACCCTTCATTTACGCATTAAAAAAATAAAATAAAATCTCTCATAACCAACAAACGACAAGCGTTTCTCAAATGAATTACATACACTATGTTATGAATCACCGCCGACAATCAACGGTGCCGACGACTGCGTATTGGTTAGAGCCCAATAGCACCTTTCTTTCTTTGTCAGGTTTTGGGCTTTACTAACCCAATAGGGCCTACATTGCACCCTTTTTCCTCTGTTACGTTCCTCTTTCTTTGGGACTTTTTTTTTCCTGTTTTGTTTTTCCCCTTTTCTTTTGGTTTCTTAAGGTTCCTGACGAGATGAAAATTGTATTTTGTGTTGATAATCGAATGATAGAGAATGAGAATCTGTGTATTTGGGGTCTTGAATATAATGAGAGCTGTGAATTTCTGGAGGTTTCGAATCCTCATTCCCTTGCCAAAAACAGGGATGGAAGGAACTCTGAGTACGGTTAATGGGAAAATAATGTTTTATATTTAATTTTCTTTTTGAAAGATTCATGAGGACATAAGAAGAAAATATAAAAGAAGAACAAAGCTTTTATTTCACAACTTCATTGTACTGACTCTGATCTCATAGCATCATGTGCTCATAAAAAATTGTCAGGTCTGTTCTTTTTTTTTTTTTTTTAAGTTTTTAGGATGGATTGGTAAACTAACATGGTATCAGAGCGGGAGGTTCTAAGTTCAAACCTCCGTAATTGCACTTGGATTGGTAAACTAACATGGTATCAGAGCGGGAGGTTCTGAGTTCAAACCTCCGTAATTGCACTCTTTATCCCCATTTAAAAATTGTCATGTGTTAGGTCTTTAATGTATCTCGGGCTTAAATATTCACGTGTTGTGCTTTCTAATTAATTTACCCACACGATTGTACATTGTCCAACCCACACGTGAAGGGGAGTGTTAAAGTATAAAACTATTGTTGACCCATCTCCTAACGGTTTAAGCTTTTGGGATGGATTGGTAAACTAACAGAAACATTTTTTTCGCTATATTTGTTTTTTTTTTTTTTCCCTCTCCCCTCTAATTATAAGTTGGGTTTTTTGTTACAATTAATTGGGATCGCATGATACATGCAATCTTCTGTCGGTTTTGGAAGTATTGCCGCATGGGATTGATTTTTATCCTTCTACGCTTGGTCGTGTTTTTAAGGAAGCTCGTTTAGGTTTTTACTAACAAGTCATTGATCTTTGGGCAGTTGCATCTGGGACATTTGATGGCAAAACTGATCAAACAATCACACTCAGAGCGAAATTTGTGCTAGGGTGCTTGAAGGGTAAGGTTTCGTCACTTGTTCTTTTCATTTTTTTTAAAGCATATTGAAATGGATGATGCGCGAAAAAGGCGTCAAAGGGAATTATATGCTGAAAAAAAGAAGATGAAAGATGTAGCTCATAATATGAAAAACATTGGTGCTGTGCTGATTTGAATGTCGACAATTCAAGTTGTTCCTCGAAAACTATTGACTTTGGTTATTCCTTAAATAATGGCACAAGTCCTCTTCCCAATGTTACTCGCGGTTTTAGCTTCGATATGCTTACTTGTTATTCCTTAAATGTTGGTTCTAACGTTAATATTACAACTGATTTTAATCCCGGTGTTACTTCAGCTTGTGATTCCAATATTACTGCTACTCATCTTGTGACATTAGCCCTGCTGATTTTAATTCAGGTGTTGCTTCAGGTTGTATCTCCAATATTACTACTGGTCTTATTCGTAACGCTAGCACTGATTGTGATTTGAATGTTGGCATTGGTTTTACTTCTGGTGTTCATAATCGTGACAACTTTAGGGTAGAAATATTACCAGATGATTTACGTAAGAAACGTAGAAGAGAGTTGTACGCAGAAAAAAAGAAAATCAAACAAATGTAATGTGAACAAAAAATCTGGTGCCTTGAAAATCAATGAAGGTATAATCAAGGAGGGTAGAGATAGCAATTGGAGAATATTCTGGAAAACGGGTCTTCTTGCCTAGAATTCCTTTTGTCTCGAAACTGATTAGAATCCATTTGCTTTTAAGCGAACACAATTTCCAATTCGACCGTGTTTTGCTATGACAATAAACAAAGCACAAGGTCAAACATTAGATTTTGTGGGATTATATCTCCCAGAACCCGTCTTTTCATATGGACAACTGTATGTTGCATTATCTAGGGCAGGGCAGCTCATTGTATTAAGATACTCATCAAGACAGATCTTCATGATCATACTGGAATTTCATCTACTAAGAATGTTGTCTATGAAGAGATTTTACTACTGGCCAAGTCTCATTTATTGGGAACAGATGATCTTCTCTTCTTGGAGTCAACAAGGTAAATGTCTCATTTTGTTCTTTTGATTCATAATATCAAAATGCTTGTATAATCGTAATAATTTGGTTTATAATTTCTGTGCTTTTTTCTTTATTTTTAACAGGGAATTACCTACTGTCAGTTCAACGAACGATGTAGAAGTTAGGGAGTGACGAATTTGAAATCCAAGGTACCTTTTGGTAAGTCTTGCTTAATACAATACGTCATATGAATTATTTTCTTGTGGATCTTGTTTCTCAATAATTTTTAAGGAAAAATGCACCTTTCAATCATTTCAGTTATCGGGTCCTCAAACCAATACCCCTGGTCCAGCTATTAATTCGAATGTGGAAAGTTCCGCATATAATTCGGATATCAGCCATCTAGAACATCCCTCAAAAGTCTCTCAAACAGACTAAGACGTGTATCCAGAACAAAGAATATACAGATTTGAGTGCGAGTTTCTTTCTATTTGAAGGGACAAACATGCTTGGTTTACAAAATGCATCCCCTGAGCTTTGGCAATGCAGGAAGATAAAGTTTTTAAGGATTTAGTTTCTTCAGACACCTCAAGGCGCCCTGTTCATGTTATTTTTGCTCAATGTGCAACATCCAAGGTGCAAAATATACGAGCAGCCTTTATTTCCTAAAAATATTCCATATTTTTATCTTTTTATTTGTAACAACTAAATTAATTGTTTGGTGAATTCTATAGATACCGAATTTATTTGTTGAGACCTATGCACTTATAGATTGCATCGATTTTATTTGTTTTCCTTAAGTTATTTCCAGCCAAAAAAATTTCCAGACCCCAGCCTCTTTCTGTCTCTCACCATGTTTGCCAACTTACACTTAGCAGGTGCCAATTGTTACTGATATCAGGCTTAAAGCGAAGCACATAAAGATAGTTTCTATCATTGGAGGAAGGCTGATGGGTTCTACCATAGCTATAGCTGTTCTTCTTAGCAATGTAAGTGTTCTTCTCAAGGAAGTTAATTCTAAATATCTTCTGAAGCGCAGAAAGATATAAAAGGCGCTTATTTCTTACAAGAAACCTAGAGATAGTATTTCCTGTTTGTAAATATGGCTTTATTATCATGCTGAATGGTTGTGGATCTTATGATAATTTGCATTCTTTGATGCTGTATTTGTATGGATTACTGGAAGCCTGGAACTAAGCCTCGATTATCCTTTGCCAAGAAGGATAGACGTGAAAATAATATTCAAAATTATTATTATTATTATATATCAAGTTACAATATATCCTCTTGTATAGGTGGAAGTGAGAATCATAGGGTGTATTTGGAATTAGTTTCAAAATGATTTTGTTTTCAATAAAAAGTAAAAATGAGATTGTTTTGAGAATCATTCTGAAAACGATTCTGAAATTACGTTTGGTTGGTTTTTTTAAATATTGTTTTGAATATAATAAAAGAGTGAAATCGTGTTTAATTATAATTATTAATTAATTTATTATAATATTGTTGATAAGTATTAGAAAATGAAAACATTCCAAATTTCTTCACAAAAATCATTCTCACTGTTTTTGTTTTCATTTTCAAAATATTTTCTAAACAAACTCCATTTCGTTTTCAATTTCATTTTTTTCTCCTTGAAAAACGTGAAACGTTTTAAAAACCAAACCAAACACACCCATAGTTTTCGTTATTTGCTTGACTTTGATGCAGCAAATATTCGAGGCTTAATGACAAAACGAGACTTGATACGAGATAAGCAGAGGACCTGACACTGCTTAAAGGTGTTTTGGATTACACAGAATTTTAAGGCTGTTGATATGATCATGTTGGCAGACTGCTGAATTTCCCTTGCAAAGCAGGACAAAGGATCTTGATTCTCCGATAATACATGCTAACGAGAAATGAGGCCTTGTGATTGTGCTTGCGTTATCGTCTTCATATCTCATATTTTAATTATGTTTGAGACATCTTGTAAATGGATTACATCTTCGGTATACTTTGTAGAAACTCTCTGTTATTCATAGATATGATGCCGTTTCATGAACGACAATTGAAAAACCGCACTGCCCATCGCAATTTGAATTATACCTGTGAGGAATTTATGAAAAAGGCCACACACGTGCGAACATGTGGCCTTAAACTAGTTTATTAAGAAAAGAGGACATTAACATTTTTAGGTCTCGTTCACTTCGCGAATTTGAGTTTTTAATTTGAATTGAGAAGTGACATTTTACTGTATTTTTTAAAAATTTTTAACTGTAAAAATTTAAAATTTAAAATTTAAATCGGTGAAATAAACGAGTCTCTAAATTTTTTTTTTTATAAGATCGCCAACTTAAGCATCTTTAACAAAAAAAAAAAAAAAAAAAAAAAAAAAAAAAAAAAAAAAAAAGAAAGAAAGAAGCTCAGGCTCATGAGAGAATAAAATAGACAAGCTCATCTCGTTAGTTGATAAAGCCTTTTCTTTCTCATGGATGACAAATTTTTATTTCTTTCTCATTATCTTTTCTTTTGTTTTTATTATTTTTTTCCTAGAATTGTCTGTTTTTTTTAATTTGGACCAAAGAAAAGTTGACAAAGATGCATCACCCGTCACATACAAGAGCTGTAATTCGCTTTTCATTTCAGTGTTGCAATTAAAGACCATTATTAAAGTTTCGTTTACTTCATGTTTCCATTCGGATTTGAAGACCACAATATCCGCCACTATTACCCGCCAAAGACTCCACCGCTGCCGCCGTCATATCCGACCTTCGCATTTGGGATCGCGTCCATGATCTCCTTCAGCCCCACGATCCGACGGCTCTCCTTCCTCCGGTCCTCCCCAACGGCCGGGGTCCCACCGAGTCCAGCATCAGCAGAAAGGCCATAAAGTTCGTCCTCAGCCATATTTATCATCTCAAAAATGAACGACAACCATAATCGAATCTTCACAACACTGGCATACTGTTATATTTGGCTTCTATATCTCTGCCGGAATTGGAAATATCCTTTTTTCTTCATTAAAAAATAACAAAATAATAATAATGGACAGTTGGCACTTGGCAGCAGTCACAATCTAATCTAGGATGGGAATTCCCGTGGGGCCCATCATATCCAGATGGAGTGGACTGTAGAGGGAGATTACCAGTTACCACAACTGCAAGACTTCAACTTTTTTTTCTTTAAAAAAAAAAAAAAAAAAAAAAAAAAACCGATTTCTCTTGTGTCGCTTCTTTCAAATTTTGAGGCTTTGGTCGTCTCTTACCTTCTCTGGCGATGGAGGGTTGCCGTTGCTCTCTGCATTCATCGGCTTTAACAATCTTACCTTCCTCGGCTTCCAGAAATGGATTTGCAGAGAAAAAGCCGTTTCTACAAGGGCAGGCCCTCAAGTTTCCCAATTCCAAGAGAACTCCAAATGCCACAAAGTTCAGGTTTCTCAATATCAGAGCTCAAGCTTCAGGTATATTCAGTTTAAGCATGCTCATACATTTCTTCGATGATTCAATCTGTTGTTTTCCAGTTTCCTTCACATTCTTGTTAGTTCAGTGTTTTCTCAAAATGGTCATTTGTATACATGGGAGAGGTTAAAAAGTTAAGTTGTACCTATTTTGAACCCAAATATGTGAAATTTTAATATATCATTTGTGCAAAACTCAATATTAGAGAAAGTTAACATTCTGTATATAGTTAGTTACCTTGGAGTTAAATTTATTTTCATATTAGGAAAGGTCGATTTAAGAGATTTAATAATCTTGGTTTACTTTTCCGATTATATTATTATAATTTGTATTGATATTTCTCACCAGTGAATTCTTTCTCATTTCCTAGTCTGTGGATGTAGCCAAATTGCTAAACCATATTATATGTTTTTGTTCTATTCTTCCTTTTATTTTGTTCCTTAACTTTTATTACTGAATCCTTTCTCTGTTTACAACTAAATATTTTTAATTTCCACTAGGTAGTACTTTGTTCAGCTTAGAGACGCTCAATGCCATTCCAAATGAGAACTCAAAAGATGAGAACCTTGCATTTGTTGCCGGTGCCACTGGTAGAGTTGGTTCCCGAGCAGTAAGGTTGAGTTTCTTTACTGCCCATATGAGCTTTTGGATGAAATGATTGAATTCAGTATTTTGTTATGGAAATTCTTAAGCATTCACTTTTACTCAGGGAGCTTTTGAAACTTGGGTTCCGAGTTAGAGCTGGTGTGAGGAGTAGTGACAGAGCAAAGGCTCTTGTGGAAGTACAATTTTGATTTGTGACATGAAATTTTTTGTTCTCCACTTTTTCTTCAAGTATATTTGCCTGAGAAATTAATTCATTTGCAGAGTGTAAAACAACTGAAGTTAGATAACGAGAATGCTGGCGGAGAAACTCAACGTAAGCAAAGTTTGAACATCAATTATCTTTACATTTGATTCCTGTAAGACATTAAGGAGGAAAAAAAAAGAGGGAAAGTGAGGGTTAGATATAAGATCTTATTATTTAGCAAGTACGCTTCTGTAGCAAATAACGGGTAATATTTGGTCTGTAGCCCAGCTGTAGAGAAGCTTGAAATCGTGCAATGTGACTTAGAGAAAAAGGATCAGATCGGATCTGCACTAGGCAATGCATCTGTGGTTCTCTGCTGCATTGGTGCCAGTGAGAAGGAAGCTTTCGATATTAGCGGACCATTTCGTATTGATTATCTGGCTACCAAAAATCTTATTGAGGCTGGTAAGCGACATTTTCGACTAGTAAGTAATGTAATAGTTATATATTTGACATGAAAGTAAACTTGCTGCGGTCCAAATTGATAATTGTGGTTTAATTCATAATACTGTAACACAAAAACTTTGTTTTCAATGCACAAAGAACCAGAACCATTTTCTCTTCTCAGCAATTTATACATTTTGGTCAAGGAGGCATCCTTGTTATATTCACCAAATTAGGCGGGGTGTCAATGAACCTTTCCTGATTAATGAAAGGGCTAGAGTTTCAGTTCATATCCTTTCAGAAGTGAAATTTTTATTTTTGATTTTGATTGGAAAATTAAATTATTTAAGCTATAACTTTTGAGAAGTTTGAGCAAGCCTCAATGTGCAGCAACTGTTGCCAAAGTGGACCACTTCATTTTGCTCACATCTCTCGGAACTAACAAGGTTGGGTTCCCTGCAGCTATTCTAAAGTAAGTTGATAAATTTCTCTTTTCTTATACTGACATGAAAATTTGAAGGATGTTAGTTTTAAAATTATAGTATTAGCTATGTTATTTGTTATTTGACTGATTTAATGAGTGTCTCCTGTTGATGAAGTTTATTTTGGGGAGTGCTAATATGGAAAAGGAAGGCAGAAGAAGCACTAATAACCAGTGGACTTCCATACACGGTTAGTAGCATTATGTATTAGCAGCAGAATATTCTATCAAATGCAAACCTTTCAGGTGTTTAAGCTTAGATATTCATTAGATGTTATTCTTCAGATTGTGAGACCCGGTGGAATGGAACGGCCTACTGATACTTTCAAGGAAACTCATAACATTACCCTTTCTCAAGAAGATACTTTGTTTGGTGGGCTGGTGTCAAATCTCCAGGTATTCATCCTCCTAAGTTACCTTGCTGTGCCTTTTTACTTAGACTTGAGCATTGATCTTTATTTTTCTTATTAAACATTAGTATTGTAAGCTTCAAATTACTTTATTTAGGTGGCAGAGCTAATGGCATGCATCGCTAAAAACCGGGATCTGTCATACTGCAAAGTTGTTGAAGTGATTGCACAAACAACTGCTCCGTTGACTCCCATGGAGGAACTTCTCAAAAAGATACCATCTCAGCGACCCGTCATTTTCTCACAAAAGGTCTCTTTGTTGTTTTCTTTGATGATAAGGTTGAAGATATCTGAACTTTCTCATCAAGTGTACATCCAGACTTTTGTTTTTTTCCCACTTCTTGTTAATTTGTACTGTTATAACTTATTAGCATGAACGACAAGTAATTTAAGTGCTACGAAGTCCGTAAGCTTAATGACCATTTTTGTTAGGGAAAAATACAACTATACAAGCGGTTAAGTTATAATTTCATTGACCAGGAGATTTCCATGTAATACAGGCTTTTGCATAACTCTCTTTCAGATTTTAGATTCTTTACAACGAAATGTTCCTTTTTGTTATCAGTAATAAGCATTAAACAATTTTCTGTATGTAACCAAAACATATTGATACAATAAGACATCTAGAGAGAGAGGAACACATTAGACTTCTAGTCTTATCGTTTCACTAATAATCCATTGCGAGAAATGTTTCTAATTTTTTTTTTCCATTTATTTTCTTTCTAGTCAACTATGAGATTGCTATAAATGGTGTCCCTTCCCATGTGATCATTACTCATCAGGACTCAAGTGCTGTGAAGACACCTGATTTAGCACCTCCAAAGTCCGAGGAACCAAAATCTTCTACTGTGGAGGAATCTGTTAAAGCAGAGGAAATTACCCTACGACCGCTTTCTCCTTATACTGCGTGAGTGATTATCCTATTCGCTACCCTTTTTTCTTGGAATTTGAAAGCATTCATTTCAATCAAACTTCTTATCTGCTCTAACTTTTTTCATTCCAAACTTTTGGCCAACAAAAGCAACGAAGACTTGAAACTACCTACATCTCCTTGTTATTTTACAGTTATGAGGATTTGAAGCCACCTAGCTCTCCAAGCCCAACACCTAGTGGTTTCAAAAAACCGCCTTCAGATGTCTCAACAGCAGTAGAGGCCCCACCGCCACCATCTTCTGGATCTGGAAATGATGCTACAAATATTGTCATAGACGGTCTTTCTGAAAATGGTCCTCCCCAGATTTCAACTCATTATCATTCACCATACCCTGTGTAAGTCCTTTAAAATGTAGTTTTCGTAATCTGCAGCATCATTTGAACATGTGGTTTTCTTCATAATCTGTTCAACATGTAGTTTTCTTAAATATTGTCATAGATGGTTTTTCCATGGCATAATCATACCTCATTATATTCCTCTTTTCTCTTCCATGTTTTATGTCTCCTATGTTTTTAGATACGATGACTTCAAGCCACCCACATCACCATCTCCAAGTCCTCCAAATGTAATGCCTCCCGCACCACCATTGGCTGTGGACAGTACGTCATCCACCGGTAGCTCACCAGAACAGGATCCTACCAAACCAAAGCCAAGATCGCTCTCACCTTTTACTATGTGAGCTTCTTCTAGTTGTTCTAAAACAGAAAGCATGAAAAGAATGCTTACGACAGAGTACTAGTTTTTTTAGTTATTTCTACCTATGTTAAACAAGATATCAAATACCATGTTGTTCAACTGAGTGAACTAACTGGAGATAATAAAAATAGGTATGAAGACTTGAAGCCTCCAGCATCACCGTCGCCGCCTGCACCATCAACGATTAAATCATAGAAGGTTGCATTTATTTCAATAAGGTAACAGTTCTTGTTCCTCTCCGTAGCTTTCCTTTGAATGGAAAGATGAATTTATTTTCAGGTTAAAGCTTTTGTTCAAAAGCAACCTTGAACTTATTATTGGCTTTCAACAGAATCGTTAGGAGTTTGGCTACACGGCAAACTCGTATCTATGAAGAGGCAAGCAATTGAATTTGCGGGAGTTCTGAGGATGATTTATTGTGTATTAATAATGCCAACATCTCATGTTATGTAGTTATACTATACGTATTTCTTTTCCAAAATTTGTTTACAGTTTTTGTGTCATTTTCATTTATATGTAAGTCCTACTTCATCTATTGGGAACAAATGTTATTATTATTATTTTATTTATTATAAAGCAGCTTAAAATGATACCACTTGTGTATTTTCTTTCGTTCTAAGCACGGCAATATTTTCTTACAGCAAATTAAATTTTGCATAACAAATATTTTGTTTACAAAGCAGCTTAAAGTGATACCAGTTATGTAATTTTCTTTCGTTCTAAGCACGGCAATATTTTCTTACAGCAAATTAAATTTTGCATAACAAATATTTTGTTTACAAAGCAGCTTCAAATGATATCAATTACGTAATTTTCTTTCGTTCTAAGCACGGCAATGTTTTCTTAAAGCGAATTAAATTTTACATCACCTTATTTGAAATTTTTTTACCAAATCCAAGTTTTTTTCTAAGGGTGATCGGTTTGGTTCGGTTTAATTCCAGCCGATCATCAAAACACTCCATCAAGAATCAATTGCTCATCACATTGGCTGTTTGGTTAACTAGTCAACAATGTTTTTTTTATGTAGCACGACCCTATTTGTTACAGGTGGTTTGGTTGGTGGTTTATGGTTACTTAAAGCCTGTTTAATTCGCTGATTCGAGTTGAGATGTGACTTTATGTAAGAGCTTTTTATTGTAACAAAAAAGTTAGATGAGATTGTTTCTTAGAGTTTTTTACTATAGCAAAACTCGAATTTTAAACTCGAATCGGTAAAATGAACGGGCCAGAACACAGCCCTAGACTACAATAGTGAAATAGTTATGTAATTTTATAACTGATGGTACAACGTGTTTTATTATACGTATTCAACAAAAAAGGGAAAACAAATGCATGCCCCGTTCTTTTCACACATGAAAAAATTAAGATAAAAACCTCTAGTCTCATATTGGAAATAGATAAATGTCATTGTCTCTCCTAAATTCTACAAAAGAGATCCCAATCCATTCTAAAAACACACAAATTCGAAAGCAATTCTTCTTTTAGCAACTCTCTCTTACCTTTGAAATTTTGCTTCACAAATATATTTGTCATAATCTTGTCCAACGCGTCCAAGAATTGAACTTAATACAACAGTAATAGGGTTTTCACATGAGCTTCTAATAATTGAACCGGGAGAAATGCTACCTTCAACCATTATTTCAACTAATATATCACACATTTGTCGTGTTTAGAATTGTTCTTGTTTTTATTTTTCACGTTTTTTAAGAAAGAAAAAATAAAAACGATTTCAAAACAGCGTTTAGCACAATTAAAGACAAAAAAACGGAAATGAAAACGATTTTTTGGTTTAATATAAAATATGAGAGAAATGTAAAATGACTTTTAGTCGTTTTTTATTTTTTGTTTTCGTTTTCTCCTCTCTCGAGCAGAGAGAGAGGGACATTAATAAGTTTTTTTATATTAAAAATAATCTCTTGATAAAATTATCAACCGCATTTTTAAAAATAATTTTTATTTGAGATTAAAAACGTTTTTATTTTTATTTTTATACAAAAAATAAAATCATTTTAAAAGGAACTACAAACGCACCATTACTTCTAGTTTTGATACGTGGCTCGTTTCCTTTTTGAAACAAATCGAGCAAACAATTGGTCGTACTGTTTTGTGTTATTTATATAACTTTGCCATTCCTTTATTTGTCCATCAGATTTGCTCTTACTTTATTGTGTGCGTATTTACCAATGTGCCATCATTAGTTGTTGCTTTCTACTCTCTATTTATCAGACCTGGCGGGAATAGTCTTTCTTCCCCAAATTTTGTGCACCAAATCACACAAACCTACGGAATAAAGTGAATCATTGGAGCTACACTTCACTTTCACTACCTTTGTATATTAAGGTAATGCTTTGTTTTTATTTATATTCATTAAAGTTTACTTTAGGTCTTTTTATTTGGCTTAGATTCACACAAATAGAAACATAGTTAAGGGTTATTGTTACCAAAATGATTAATTAGAATTTGTAATAGTGATTAATTTTAATAATATTCAAGGAGTACATATACTTTCTAGTATATGTTAGGAATAAGTTTGAGGCATCGTTCATTTCACCAATTCAAATTTTTAATTTTAGTTGTATTACAGTTAAAAACTTTCATAAAAAGTCACAATTAACTTTTTCCGCTACAGTGAAAAGCTTTCACATAAAATCACATACCAATTCGAATAGAAAATTTAAATCCGCAAACTGAACGAGACATGAATCTTTTAATATAGAAACATGGGTATGATTTGGGAAAAATAAAAATAAAACCGCCCACTATTATGAAAAATTTTAAATATGCATTTATATTTATGCTTACATTTTAAGTATTGTGGTTTTCTGAAGGAGTGTTCTTCAATGTCTTGGAATTTTGACTGTACCACCACACTATATTTTGAAACGATGAAGAAAGGATGCAAAGAGCTTACACTCAACCGTGCGAATTCCTAAAGAAATCAATACCAAGAAGCAACGTTGTGATGAGTTGTATCATGAGGCTTTTAGATTGAGCCAAGAAGGATTACTTTCACTCGACAGTTTCAATATTGCATACAAAAATGTGTGATGGTCAATCATTCTCTCAACAAAGACCATGGATGTTAATAAAGAAAATGTTGAGTCCAATTTGATCGACAGTATCACAACACTACGTGATTTATATGTATCAATCACGAAATTAGCCCTAAAGAAGATGAAAAATAGAATTGAGAAAGCTAACAAAAAAACCCTCATAATAAATCAAAAAAGATTAGATAGAATTATATATATATTTCTATTTGATTTATCCATTTTTTACTTATTATACTTTTTTCCTTGATTCTATTAGGAAAAAATGAGCACCCCACTACCTTCTACTAACATACTTTCTATACTAACATACTTTCTATTGAGACGGTTGGGATAAATCCACATGACAATTTTTACTTGATACAAGAAGGTAAATTTTGGGAAGCTAATTATAGTGATCTAACTCTAGCAAAACATGTATTATACAATGATTTTGAAATCTTTGTTTATTTATGCAGGTCAAAGTATGTTTAGCTTCAAGAAATTTACATCACAAGGTGGTTTTTTGAAATGCTAAAAGGGACAACCAAGACACATGTTAAAGACAAGAGATTTTCAAATGGGGCATTGAAAGAATGAACTATCTTTGGTCTTTTAATTTTTGGAACATGAAAATTTCTTAAACATATTATTGTGCTTTTGTTCTTACTTTGGATATGTTGCACTTTTACATGGTAGATAACATTTATCTTTTGTTTCTATAATCATTCAGAGCTACATTAACCTCAAAATTTCAATTAGATTTAGAAAATTACTCATAATTTCATAAAAGACAAATAGATTTTAGTTAAGATGTCAAAAGAAATCCAACTAGTGTTATATATATATATATATATTGAGGGGATCACAGTTGTTTGATATATCAGGAGCTTACACTCGTAAAACTAAAAATGAATAAAAGGAACTTTAGAGGAAAAAAAACAGAAAAAGAAAAAGTCTAGAAGGATGAGACCAAATAGATAAATGGGGTATTTAAAAAATATTAATTTTATTAAAAGTAAAGTGCACGTTGTGTTGGACAAAAGAAAAGGGATGACAAAGTGGTAAATAGTGTGAAGCAGTATGACTAAGGAGACGTTTGGTTCATGAATTAGAATCATGAGATTAGAACCATTTTCGATTTATATGTATTTTTTGTGAGAGAAAATACTGTAGCGAATCATAAACCATGATTCGAATCGGGGTACGAATCTCTCAACCAAATAATAACCCCTAATTATTTGCCCACTTTATCTTAAAAAGATGAGGGCCACGTGTCAAAATATAAAAGTAGTGTGTGATATATTGGTTGAAATAATGGTTGAAGCTAGCATATCTCATTGGACTTGCTACAATAGTGATAGAGTTTTCACATGAGCGAACTTGTTGAAAATGTACTACGCTTTTGGTCCCGGATATGACGCTTTTTGGTAATAATCTCATTACGAGGGTCAAGTTATACTCAAAATTCTCCATGTTGGTTAGTTATGTACTCCAAAAGTTATCAAGGAAAACGTGTCCATTAATTTGATAAGTTCTAAATACTATAAGTATTAATGTCAGATTTTGAGCATTTGTTTACTACATTTTTAATTCAAATAACAATTTAAATTTTTGGTTACAATGTTTATCTCACAAAAATTTAAATTCAACATTTTTTATTATAGTGTTCTCTCTCACATAAATTCACTTTTTAAAAAAAATTCAAATTTAGTTTTTTTATTACAGTGCACCCTCTTTTATATAAATTCATTTCTTAATTTAAATTCTCAACTCATACTCGTGAAAAGAACCGGCATATAATCCATCCATGCACATAAACAGAAAAATGTTAGGCGTTAGGCCATGTTTTAGTTTTTTTTTTTTTTTCTTTTTCTCGTTGATGCACAAACACAATGGACTCTTTTGTGTTGTTTTTTTCTTTGTACCAAAATAAAGTAATAACTGATAAAATAGCATCACAAGACGCAAGATCTATCTTACTTCAAATTGCTTTCCATTAGTATTCAAATTAGGAGGGGGAACAAGGAAAAAAAAAACCATTTAAAAGTCTTTAAAAAAAATTAAACTTTTGAAGTGGCGTTATTTCTTGCACTCTGGCTGCATTTGGTATTGCTTTTCGCTCTACAAATCAGCTTCTGTTTATAGCAAAAGTTGATTTTAGTGTTTGATAAATCTCCTCAAAAATGATTTTTAAAGAATTTTTGAAGAATCTACAGCCAAAATCAGAAGTTGTCCAAAGGCAATTGTATGGGAATCAACATAGTACAATTAATGAAATTTTTATAATACCTATAATACCCCTAATAAAATTTAAAATTTAAAATTTTCTCAATCTAAAATTCAAACTCGTAATATAATAATAATTTTTAATATAATATAATATAATAGTAATATTGTAACAAATAATATCATAATTATATTAATAACTATAATATTATTATTTTATCATATAATATGATATTATAATAATATTATAATTATTTTAATAATATGATATTATAATTATAATATGATATTGTAATTATTATTTTATAACATATTATATATTATATTGTATTGATATAATTAAACTTATTATATTAATAATATTACAATAATATTATTACATTATATTATATTGATATAATTATATTTATTATAATATGATAATATAATTATAGGCAAGGTCTGAAATTGGTAACTGAAGAAGACTTTTTCCTTTTTGTGTTTGCCTTTTGGCCTATATTAGAGTCTAGCATTAATTAATTACCATTAATTTCTTGCCAACAGTAGTGTTACTAAGTGGTGTATATGTTAGAAATCACCAAAACTTATTATAGCAACATACTTTTAATTCTGTAGTCGTAATTTCTGTTTGTCATATTTATGGGTAATCTATTTGTATGATTGTATAGCATCACTAGATCTATAGTAATAAACTATTTTAATTATTCTGTTGTTTACCTCTGCATGTTCATTATTTAGGGACTTGATGTGTACAATTTGATTTTAACTACTAGTATTATATTATAATTTTATATTATATTGTAGTATAATATAATATATTCATAATTTTTATTTATTCACAATAATTTAATCTCATAATTTATCAAATACTATTACATTAATTTTAAAACTAACATAACTATTAAATTATAATTTATCAAACACTCAACTATTTTTTATAATAGATGTTTTTTCAAAAGCGATTTTTCAAAATAGCAACGACAAACTAACCCTCTGTAGTCTATACACGTCCTACCACCTAAAACCTATATCCCATTCCCCACCAATCAATTTGGAGACCATAATATCATACAATATGCCAGAACACAGAGAATAGCGACCACAATCAAAGCTCACGAAGAAACCTCTGTAGACAACGAAATCCCAAATACTGATCAGAGAACCTCTCCATTTCTTCTCCTCCTTTGGCCCTGCACACATCCTCCTCCATCTCCGCCACAACCTCGTCCCAGTTCCTCATAAACCCGTCGTACCCCCAACAGTACCTGCCGAAAACACCGCCGCCAGTATCTCCCATCTTCGCCTCGGAGATCGCGTCCAAAATCTCCTGCAGCCCCACGATCCGACGGCTGACCTTCCTCCGGGCCTCTCGCACGGCCGGGTCCCACCCGGGGACCGAGTCCAGCCTCAGCAGAAGCGCCATCAGGGACTCGTTCATCCTCAGCCGCTCGCGGTCGTCGCTCCTAACGGCGTCCACCGTCTCCTGCCGTTGGATCAGGCGTTGCAGGCTGTCGGCTTCGGAATCGATGGACGAGATCGTTCTGTAGAGGGCCCGGATCTTGTGGGCCCGGAAGGCGGACTGGATCTTGGCGGCGGCGTTGGTCTGGGCCTGGTGTGGGAGGTGGACGGTGATTGGGATTGGGCCTTCGGAGGACCCGGTGGGGCTGGGCTGAGGGGGAGGGGTAGTTTGGTCATTGTGGAAGGTGTAGGTGACGGTTGTGGTGGTGGAACTGGAAGACGAAGGGAAGCTGACTCTGCGAGAGCGAGAGGGTTTCATTTTATTTTTTAAATTTTTTTTACTTTTGTGGCCAAAGGATTGTATTTGTGACTGAAGAATGAAAGATTATGTGGCATTTTAAACTGGAAATTGTGTGTGTTTTTGGTGGGGAAAAAACTTTTTTAAGGGTTTTAAACTGGGAATTATTTGACTTTTAAAGCAACTGTATAGAGGTTTCTTGAATGCTCTTGGCGGGTAGTAGGCTTAAACGATGTGCCGCGTGCGTGAACACCGTCTGTTTCTAAGAATCGGGGGCTCCTTTTTGACGGATGGACTCTTTGCTTTTGGCGCATGCAACGAAGTTTTTGTTTTTTGGTGGGGTCATAAATAAGAAAATCAAAAAGAAAAACAATCATAGAATATAATGTATATAATATATATATATATATATATATATTATCAGAAGCCAAGCCTTTATTTTGAATCGTCCAATCTGTATTAAGTTCGGTTAGCTTTACATACTTATCCATTTTAATATGATTCTAACCAAATATAATATTCAACAAAATGCAATACCATAAAATATAACCTGGAAGTTGCAGCAAAAAAAGCCCGCTTCAATTGATCAAGTGTTAAAAAAACGTTGATGGTTTTTTCTTTTGGTTCGATAAAGCTCTCTCAAGTTCTTTTTGAGAGGTCCCGGGTCCCCTAAAAAAATAAAAGAAATTCTTTTTGAGAGGCTAGGAAAGGGAAAGCAAGTAAGCATTGTAGTTTTGAAAACTTTTTAGTGCCGAGCATTGGCAGCTTTTTTGGTTAGTATTGCCATCCTCGAGCTGAGATTTTGCATGGCAGTTTCGGGAAAAGAGAATCAATCCAAACTTAAGGGCCCGTTCACTTCGCTGATTCGAGTTTGTAATTCGAGTTGAGATGTGATTTTGTGTGAGAGCTTTTTACTGTAGCAAAAAAGTTAGATGTGACTGTTTCTGAGAGCTTTTTACTGTAGCAAAACTTGAATTCTAAACTCGAATCGGCGAAATGAACGAGGCCTAAGTCTTAAGCCCTAGCCACCTAATAAACGACGGTTCAGTAAACAGTGCGACCATTTATTAAGCAAATTTGAGTTTATTAAGGATACACAAGGTCCACATGCAAAACGAATCACACCAGATACTGGCTTCGGCCTCCTGCATACTCAATTAAAAGTGACACCATAACAACAACAACCTCAAGGGAGTGGAGGAACAATCTTCCCCGAGCAAGTCCCGAACCCTACGTTATATCCATTACCCTGCAATGAATTAACATTTAATCCATCAGTCATTGCATTTTGAAGGTGTCTTGCTGCAATTATCATAATAGCTTCGAACAAAACAATCGGATGTTAATGCAGATGTTCGAGTTTATCTGCATTAGTCTATCTATGGCCGCTTCTATATAGAATTCGTTTTTCTTGGTTTGAACAAATATTCACCTACTACAGCAATTTTTATACGCAGAACATGGATATCGGTTCAAATATTCTATGATTGTTGACATACGGCTGCATCTTACTTTCTCTCGGGGAAAAAAAAAGAGAAGGAAAGAGGGCTTATATGTCACGAACCTTGCAATAACCAGTGATGATAACTTCATCTCCATCCTCTAGGAATTTACGTCCTGTCCCATTTAATGACAGTGGCTTCTGTCCATTCCATGTCAACTCCAGTAAGCATCCATAAGACTCTGGCTCCTGTTTGGAAATGAAGGTTGTTGCTTAGTTTCACATGAACTGATGACCAATATAGGACTTATTTGCCTCTCTTGAAATTCTAGTCGAGAGAAGAGAATTAAGATAGTCCATATGAAATTATACAGAAAAGAAAATAATAAAAAAACTGAAACCATACAGGTCCACTGATGGTCCCTGTTCCTAGGAGGTCTCCGGGCCTTAAGTTGCAACCATTTATAGTGTGATGTGCTAGCTGTTGAGTCAGCGTCCAATATCTGTAAAATGAGTTACCACGATCAATATTTTTTTAATAACAAAAAAAGAGCATTGAAACATTATATGACGAACGCAAATGAAGGGATTTTTGCGCTTATATTTTGTGCATCATGCAAGTCTTTTGAGAATGGAACAGGGGGTAAGTCATTCTTTGAAAGTATAGCAACAACATAATTGCTCAGCATTGCATACAAGATAGTTTGAGTAAAACTTAAGTAATAAGCTATCCAAGTACAAGAGGACAGTAAGGCAAACGGTTGCTTACAAGTGCTTGAAATTACTCCTTGTGACCACACTTGAATCTTTTGCTCCAGCAGGTTTAATATGAGCCTAGCAGAAAGAAGCAGTTCATCATAATATGAATGATGTAACATCTGACTAAGAAAATAACTCTCTAAGGCCTAGAATTAACTGCTTCAAATAAGCATTAATATTTGAGCCAAAAAAATAAAACTGCTGGATACCTCTAAAGAAATGTCATAATTTTGGGATTTCTTCTCAGCCAGATAAGGCAATGGATTGGGATCCTGCAATTTCGAACGCCATCAAACATCATATAGCATGTAGCATGAAAGAGGTATGGAGAGAATTATATTTAAAAAAAATATGGTGTTATGCTCTGAAATGATTAAGCACCTGTACAGGAGCATCACAAGAAAAAGGCTCTAGAGCTTCTAGTGTCACAATCCAAGGAGATATTGTAGTACCTGTAGTATATGCATTGGAATAGTTAAGTCAGTCGTGCTAAGTGAACTTAGACGCTAAAGTAGTGTCAGCAGAAACAGAGTGTTCACTCAACCACAGGTTTACCATATGGAACCAAGAAATTCAACCATATATTTTCTGTTCTTACCAAAACTTTTTCCAAGGAAAGGCCCAAGAGGAACATATTCCCATGCCTGAATATCTCTAGCTGCAAAAACCAACATGATATTAGACAGCATGGAAGATTAAGCAACAAGATGAAAGGACTTAAGCTACAGGAAGCATGCTTACCACTCCAGTCATTCATCAACACAAGTCCAAAGATATGATCTGCTGCCTCATTAACATCCACAGGCCTCCCTAGTTCGTTTCCTGGACCAACTACAGCAGCCTACAACAAACATGAGAACTTGATCATAACGAAAAAAGGAATGATTAACACCTATAGCTTAAATAAAGATTACATCAGATCCTAATGTTAATCAAAAGTTTTAACTTTGTCGACTGAGAAATCTACATCAACCAATGAACTGGATGAGCTTTCTATATTGCAAAACTTACCATTTCCAGCTCATAGTCCAGCTTCAATGATGGACCAAAATATGGTGGAGAGTTTTTGCTTGGATGGCCTTGACCTCTGTGATAAATCAAAGAATTATCATTTGTATAGAAACCCCAAAAAGCATGAAGCCTATGATTGACTACAAATATATCTTAATCTAAAATCATAATACGACATATCACTAGTGATAACATTTGTCCATTAAAGTAATTAACGTAGGCCCCACTCAAGATCATTGTTCAAGTTCTTATCCAGACGAGAGTAAAAGGAAATTAACATGCCTAAGGACTGATCTTACACAGATCCACTAGAAGACGCATATACTACCTAGCACATAACTTGCACGTCCTCTGGCTTATAAAGTATACTAAAAGAAATTGTGGATGAACCCATGGAAACATTGATATGCACAGAAATACATCCCAAAGAAATCAGTCTACATATTCATATATGGATGCACTACCCCAATCCGGAATACTGAAGTGGTATTGGGCAGGAAAGGATATGGAGTAGTGTTATATACAGAGATATATATATATATATATATATATATATATATATATTGCTAATGATTATATACAGATTGGTTTGGGTATTCAGACACATTCCACATAAAACACAGGCATAAAATCAAGCCAAATACTACTAAAGTTGTTTGTTTCACGACAGGAAAAGATGGTTTCTAGAAGATCCTTCCATCCTACTCTGCATTCTTGGTTAACGTAGCATTTAAGAAAATAAAAACAAAAAAGTAAAAACAAATTCTAACCTTGGTCGAATAATGTCTGTCCCAGAGATAACAACAGATGATGCTCGTCCATGATATGCAATGGGAAGGTGAAACCTGAACATCAATTAAGACTCTCTGAACATGAAAATGCACATATACAGAAAATTAAAAAGAGTTTATCTACCAAAAACTTCAAAACAACAATACCAGTTTTGTGGAATTGGGTTCTCAGGTCCGCGAAATATAGTTCCACAATTCTTTGCATGATGCATGGAGGAGAAGAAATCCGTGTAGTCCCCAATGGCAATAGGAAGAAGCAATTCGATCTTGTTCTGAGCAGTTGCAAAGGGAATCTACCATTAGAACAACAGCAATATCTCGATACTAATTCGCCTACTCAAAATCAAGATCATACACTTTTATTACCAATGGAACCAGTGCTTTCTCCCTCAAAATTGCATTATCACGCAAAGTTGGTTCAGTAGCTGCATAATTGAGAAAAGGGAAAATACTAACCATAAGTAAACAACAAATATGAAAATAGCATTCTCCAATAGTATACCACTTGTTCCTGAATTTTTAAGGCCTATAATCATACCATTTTACACGATTGTGCATAAAAGTAAGAATTCACCAAAAATAAATATAATTGCTGAGACTAGACAATCGAAATAAGAAAAGCCTACATGACAATAGCTTTTGCAGAGTGCTTCGAGCTTCCTTCCACGCAGGCTTTCCCAGTGCCAAAAACTTGTTCAGATTAGGCTGCCGCCAAAAACAGAGCCAGATAACAAGCAATTAAATTTAGTAAAAAATAAAATAAAATCGCAGTGAAAACCTAGCAGCTAAGAAAACAAAAAGAACTCCATTTCGGCCTAACTTCTAGTACCAGTAGAAACACGGCCAGAGCAAATCAACTGAGAAATAAGAACTAAATATTCGAACCTGGTGAAAACAATCGGAGAAGTTCTTGAGGATCGGACCATCGAACAGACCGGCGGAGGCGATTTCGGAGAGGTCGATGACGTAGTCGCCGATTGCGACGCCCGGTCGAGGAGTTGAACCCGGTCCGGGCCTGAACACCCCATATGGAAGATTCTGTATGGGGAAGTGAGAGTCTGGGTGAACTTCGATGAAGGACTTCAGAGCCATGGCGGCAGGCTGGAAACGACGTAGTGCGGCGTTGAAGCTCCGGTTGATGGTGATGGTGAAAGAGGAGAAAGAAAAACTGTTTTGTACTGACTTGGACCGAGATGTGGTATTAAGATCTCATTCTCTTTTCGTTCATCAATTATTTCGTCATTTAAATAATATTTTATTGTTTTCCTCACTATTTTACTGTTTTTAGTGAGGATGGGCCTGTGGTGGTTGTGATTCGCAGCCGTGAAGCGATAAAAATGAATCATGATTCATGAGGTAGATGGTCGTCGTTCCACCTACCGGTCGTCGTCAACTGCAATCTTTTTTCCAGTCGGGTTCGGATTCGATCCGGTGATCGAATGATGTGGTTCATAAATAATAATAACTTTCTAATAAAGTGAAATTAACAAAATGATCTTTTTTTATTTTTTATAAAGAAAGATATTTACTCATTTTTTATAAAATGAGGTCATTTTGTAAATAAAATTTTTTAAAAATTTATTTTACTAATAAAACTTTTCAAAACAGTTATTTTTACAAAGACCTAATAGTAATGGGTATTTTTACAGCTAATCAACCGTTTGTTTTTAAGGAGTTGGGGTGTGTAGGTGAGAAAAAAATATTAAATTTAATTATGCGTTTAGATGATTTGTGTTATAATTTAAATTATAGTTCGTGGTTTGATATAATATTTTTTTTTATAAAAACAAAAATAAATTAAGAATAATTCTGAATCCATTAACTAAACATCAGGTAAATTTTAAGAACTTATCAAATTAATGGACACGTTTTCCTTGATGACTTTTAGAGTACATAACTAACCAACATGGAGAATTTTGAGTATAACTTGACCCTCGTAATGAGATTATTACCAAAAAGCGTCATATCCGGGACCAAAAGCGTAGTACATTTTCAACAAGTTCGCTCATGTGAAAACTCTATCACTATTGTAGCAAGTCCAATGAGATATGCTAGCTTCAACCATTATTTCAACCAATATATCACACACTACTTTTATATTTTGACACGTGGCCCTCATCTTTTTAAAATAAAGTGGGCAAATAATTAGTCATACTGCTTCACACTATTTACCACTTTGTCACCCCTTTTCTTTTGTCCAACACAACGTGCACTTTACTTTTAATAAAATTAATATTTTTTTAAATACCCCATTTATCTATTTGGTCTCATCCTTCTAGACTTTTTCTTTTTCTTTTTTCTTTTTCCTCTAAAGTTCCTTTTATTCATTTTAGTTTTTTGAGTGTAAGCTCCTGATATATCAAACAATTGTGATTCTCTCAATATATATATATATATATATATAACATCTCTCTCTCTCTCTCTCTCTCTCTCTCTCTATATATATATATATATATATAACGCTAGTTGATTTTTTTTTTTTTGACATTTTAACTAAAATCTATTTGTCTTTTATGAAATTATGAGTAATATTCTAAATATAATTGAAATTTTGAAGTTAATGTAGCTATGAATGATTATAGAAATAAAAGATAAATGTTATCTACCATGTAAAAGTGCAACATATCCACAGTAAGAACAAAAGCACAATAATATGTTTAAGAAATTTTCATGTTCCAAAAATTAAAAGACCAAAGATAGTTCATTCTTTCAATGCCCCATTTGAAAATCTCTTGTCTTTAACATGTGTCTTGGTTGTCCCTTTTAGCATTTCAAAAAACCACCTTGTGATGTAAATTTCTTGAAGCTAAACATACTTTGACCTGCATAAATAAACAAAGATTTCAAAATCATTGTATAATACATGTTTTGCTAGAGCTAGATCACTATAATTAGCTTCCCAAAATTTACCTTCTTGTATCAAGTAAAAGTTGTCGTGTGGATTTATCCCAACCGTCTCAATAGAAAGTATGTTAGTAGAAGGTAGTGGGGTGCTCATTTTTTCCTAATAGAATCAAAGGAAAAAAGTAAATATCTCAATAATAAGTAAAAAATGGATAAATCAAATAGAAATATATATAATTCTATCTAATCTTTTTTGATTTGTTAGGAGGGTTTTTTTTTGTTAGCTTTTTCAATTCTATTTTTCATCGCTCATTTCGTGATTGATACATATAAAACACGTAGTGTGATATCACGATACATATGAATCACTTAATGTGATACTATCGATCAAATTGGACTCTAACATTTTCTTTATTAACATCCATGGTCTTTGTTGAGAGAATGATTGACCATCACACATTTTTGTATGCAATATTGAAACTGTCGAGTGAAAGTAATCCTTCTTGGCTCAATCTAAAAGCCTCATGATACAACTCATCACAACGTTGCTTCTTGGTATTGATTTCTTTAGGAATTCGCACGGTTGAGTGTAAGCTCTTTGCATCCTTTCTTCATCGTTTCAAAATATAGTGTGGTGGTACAGTCAAAATTCCAAGACATTGAAGAACACTCCTTCAGAAAACCACAATACTTAAAATGTAAGCATAAATATAAATGCATATTTAAAATTTTTCATAATAGTGAGTGGTTTTATTTTTATTTTTCCCAAATCATACCCGTGTTTTTATATTAAAAGATTCAGGCCTTATTCAGTTCACGGATTTAAAATTTTCTATTCGAGTTGAGATGTGATTTTATGTGAAAGCTTTTCACTGTAGCAGAAAAAGTTCACGGATTCAAAATATTTGTTATGCAAAATTTAATTTGCTATAAGAAAATATTGCAACGAAAGAAAATACGCAAACGGTATCATTTTAAGCTGCTTTATAATAAATAAAAAAATAATAATAACATTTGTTCCCAATAGATGAAGTAGGACTTACATATAAATGAAAATGACACAGAAACTGTAAACAAATTTTGGAAAAGAAATTAGTATAACTACATAACATGAGATGTTGGCATTATTAATACACAATAAATCATCCTCAGAACTCCCGCAAATTCAATTGCTTGCCTCTTTATAGATACGAGTTTGCCGTGTAGTCAAACTCCTAACGATTCTGTTGAAAGCCAATAATAAGGTTCGTTTAGTTGGAGAATTTAAACCATGTGATTTGAATTATTTTCGATTTACGTGTATTTTTTATGAAAAAAAATATTATAACGAACCACGAATTATGATTCGAATCAAGAAACGAATCCCTCTACTAAACGCCTCCTAAGTTCAAGGTTGCTTCTGAACAAAAGCTTTAACCTGAAAATAAATGCCCCTCAACAGCTTTGACCGTAGGATTGCTTTTGTGTCATTAAACCATGCTATGTCAGCGTAATCAACAGTCAGGATC